GGCAAAACTCAAAACCTACAAGAATTAGTTTCGTGTTCAGCTCGTTCCCCCAGACCTTTTTGTTGGGGGCAGCCAGGCAGGAAGAAGAAATATATGTGGGATAGAAAGAGGATGCTAATTGTTGTTATAACATCAGCATTATTATTTTATGTATTTTGTGTGTGTGGTGCTTCAGATGATGATATTAATTTGATGGACCAGAAGAAAGACAGCTAAGATAGTTTCCTTTCTACTACCTTGATGTAATTGAATGAGAGACCAAGAGAAATATTCCTACTTATACTTAAAGCCAAACATAACACAAAAGGGGGGTAAAGAGATGCCCAGGGTAAATACAGTGAACCACAGGTCATCACACTGAGGGCTTGCTACTGGAGCAGGATAATTTAGGGAGCTAGAGCCCTGTTTTGCCTTGCCTGTGCATAAAGGGGAGTGGTCACTGCTCCGGTAAAGTCTGGCCCAGAAGAGAAGTGTCAGCCTAAACTTGTTGCTGTGATTACAGCAAGGAGGTGGGGAGGGTAAAAAGGCGGGTAAAAGAAAGAAGGACTAGAGAAAGGAGAGATCCTCCAAGACTGGCGAGGTCTTGGAGTGGCCGATTCCTGTGCTCGGTTCTCTCCAGCGGGCCCAGGGGCAGCTTGGCCTCAGAGGGGAGGGCAGTCTGAAGGCTGGACCCCTAAGCACAGGGTTTGCTAGTTAAGACAGAGTTCTGTTGTCTACTTCTGCTGTCCAGGGCCACTGGGGTCAGTATCCCTCCATGGACAAAGAGAGTCTGGGCCATAAAGAGCCAGCTGTGATCATATGAATGGGAGACTGGGGCTTGTCTCTGCTTTCTGGGTATCATGTGAGCCTTCCAGGTTTCTGTCAGATTCTAGAAGGTGTCAAGAATTGTGCAGGGTCTGGGAGTTAAGCTTACCTACAAGCAGATAAGTGAACTTATGACTATTCCATGAATTTGGCAGATGTGAGACTCTCTTGGGCCAGAGATGAAGGGCAGTTCATTAAGGAAATACTAGCAGCCAGAGGATCCCCAGTTTGCACTGATTCTCTGAGCCCCAGGGCCCACAGGGTGATGCAAAGAGGGCCAGGTAACACCTGCACCTGCAGGAGGGGAGCCCTGAGCTGAGGAACCCCAATCTTGTATAACAGGCAGCAAGCATGCTTGCTCTTTGCTCTGCAGGAGACACAATCTTACCTTCCAAGGCTGTTTGCCGTAGAAATATCTTTGAAAGTTGGTCTTTGCAGGCACAGGGAAGTCAGTGCCTCTGCTTACAAGATGGGTAAAAACACGAAAGACCCATGGAAAATTGTCTCCCAACTGAAGGAGTATTCAGTACTGACTGAGATTGAAATTCTGCTATGGAATAGGGACCCAAAATCAGATTTAATTTAATTTGGTTTAAAGAAAATAAAGAAATACGACATGCCTTAAAAGCAGAGTCTGTGGAAGATTTTTTATACATAATATATGCTTCACATGATTTCTCTCACTCAAGAGCATGGATTTCAGAGTCAGACAGATTTTAGTTCAAATACTATTCACTGCTTCCTAAGCAAGTCATTTAACCTTCAGTTTCAGTCTGCTGACCTGCGATGTGGGAATAATAGTTGCTGCCTCAAAGATGATATAAGGAATTAGTGAGTTGATGTCTGGCAAGAGTTTAGTTGTTGCCTGGCACAGAGTGGGTGCCAAATATTTGGAATCCTATTAAAAGCACATAATGTAATAACCATAAAGTTATGTGAGAAATGAGGCAATTGAAGGAAGAAGGCTTATTTTTCTTTCTTTCTTTTTTTTTTTTTTGAGACAGAGTCTCACTATGTCACCGTTGGTGGAGACCTGTAGTGTCACACAGCTCACAGCAACCTCCAACTCCTGGGCTTAAGTGATTCTCTTGCCTCAGCCTCTCAAATAGCTGGGACTACAAGTGCCCACCACAATGCCTGGTTATTTTTTTTATTTTTATTTTTTGTAGTTGTCGTCATTGTTTTAGCTGGCCCGGGGCAGGTTTGAACCTGCCAGCCTCGGTGCGTGTGGTTGGTGCCTTAACCACTGGGTGCCAAGCCGAGAAGGCTTATTAAGTGTTTTGTTTTATCTCTAAGGTTCCTGTTCTTTTGAATTGGAAGCCTTTGATTGACCTGCTTAGGTTAGGAAAAAAATTCAAATTATATATCCCATGCCTTTTTTTGAGTTGACATATGATGTAGAAACATTATTACTTTACAGAGAAAATCAGGAAGGACTGAAAATCCAGGTTGACACAAAGGCAGACAGCTAGGACAAAGAACCCAGGCTGGTGGCCAGCTAGGCCATTACAGCAGAGCTGTCCCCAACCTGGGCATACAGGCAGGCCCTGAATGCATTAGTGTGCTGAAATAGTGACACCTTCAGCCCATGGGTGGCTGGAGAGGGGTCTGAGTCAGCTGGAGGTGCCTGTCTGAGCCAATCACCTCTCACTGAGAACAGCCATACAGTCATGGAGAAGTATTATTTTCTACACATGCCACGATGCAAAATGGGTGAGGAAGCAATGACTTATGGATTGAGTACTTTGGTTCTACGATGAACAGGATCATCTATGGTAGAGGGAAATGATAGGATAAAGTATATCATTAAAAGGCTCAAACTAAATTCAAGATTTGTCACGTTCAAGCAGGGACAGGATAGGAGAATTATTGGGTTGCCATAGAGTTGCCTGGTTAGAGCACATCATGAATGGAGTTATACCATGTAGGAGAGCCTATGTGGGGAGTGAGCTCTCGCATCATATGGATCCTGGAATTTGGAGGTGAAAATTTCACTCTAGCCAGTGGGATTGGGGGTTGGGACTTATCTCCTGGGGAGATACTGCCACTGGGTTACAAAGCAGATACCCAAATTTCTGGGAAATAGGGTGCCAATGCCAGAGGGAACCAGGAAACCAGAATAAAGTCCCACCACTGCCCAAGCTAATGGTTGAGAGCAGGAGGGCAAGTTGGGACCCAAGTCTGGAGCAGGCCAGATTTCAAATAAAGGCTCCAGTGGATTTAGGTTTGAATGTTACAAAGGAAGCCAGGCAGGAATCCAAGCAGACTACAGAACTGTACTCTCTTTAGGGCTACTGGGGCTGTGTAGAATACACCAGCCGCCCATCCTCCATCCCCACATCAGTAGGTAGCTTTATTCTTTGCTGAAGTTCAGGAAACATTTAGGGCAGTGGTTCTCAACCTTCCTAATACCATGGCCCTTTAATACAGTTCCTGTGGGTTGTGACCCACAGGTTGAGAACCAGTGATTTAGGGTTTGTTCTGCCACATCACATTGCAGAATTTTTTTTTTAATTGAGTGGGTTAAGTAATAAGGTCAGATAATCATGCTCAGCCCTTGTAGCAGCATTTGAATCACTTATTAATGCAGGGACATTAATCTATTCTATTAAAATACAGGATAATTACCCAGATGATGTGTGAAGTTCTTTCTAAATTTCTTTTCTTTATTTAGTCCAACAGAAGAACTAACATATGGTGCCTTTGCCGTGGATACATGTGGACAAGGTCAGGAAGGAAGAAAGCAAAAACCGATTGTTACATGGGTGTGGTTTTAGAAAAGATCAGTTGATAAGTACTCTAAAGACTTCTTCTATGGCAGCGTCCGTAGCTCAGTGGGTAGGGCGCGGGCCACATACACCGAGGCTGGCAGGTTCAAAGCTGGCCCAGACCAGCTAAAGTAACAATGACGACTACAACAAAAAGATAGCTGGGCATTATGGCGGAGGCCTGTAGTCCCAGCTACTTGGGAGGCTGAGGCAAGAGAATCGCTTAAGCTCAAGAGTTTGAGGTTGCCATGAGCTGTGACACCACAGTACTTTACCCAGGGCGGCAGCTTGAGACTCTGTCTCAAAAAAAAAAAAAAGACTTCTTCTACCACTGGGACTAGATACTAGGAGCATAGTGACAAAAGACAGAACTGTGGGCACCAGCCCTGAAAGATAAGTAATCTGGCAGGGGAAGCCAGGTTGACAGGATAGGTGAGAACTTGGGAACCGATAGAGGGGAGACACTCTAGTGCAGAGGGGCTTGGCAATGCCAAGCACACGCTGGGGAAGGCAGGCAGCTGGGAGGACAATAGCTAACACCTCCGACTTGCATCTTCAGTTTAAGAAGAGAGGGATTCTTTAAAAAATAAAGAGTTCAGTCGTGGAAAGAGGCAGCTGTGGGCTGCATTCTTTAGAGAAACAGCAATAGCGACACCAAAAAGAAGGCAAACTTTTGGTTTTGCTTTGATGCCATTTGAAGAAGGAAGTCAGAATGATGAATTTAAGATCCATGCTAAGAATTTGTAATATTTCTTACCCTTTAAATTTTCTTTTCTTTCTTTTTTTTAAAGCTTCTTCCTCTGCAGTGATTATCAATATGCTTTGGGGAGGGAAATGCATTTCAGGAGATTGGGGGCTGGTGGCCAGTTACTAACAGGAATTCTAATAGTAAGTGTTTGCTGTTGGCTGTGCTGGACTTTGCTCTGTCAGTTCCAAAGCTCTGCCTCACACTTTGTGTGCTGGTGACGGTTTGAGGGAGAGTAGAAAGGAAAAGGGAGCCGTATCTCCCACTGGCGTGCGTATGGGCTAGAGAAGAGAGTGAGGAGGAAAGAGGCAAAACAGAGATGGAGAGAACCACCCTGAAGGCAGGAAATCAAAGAATGGGAGACCAGGGAAATGGAACAGTACTCTGGCGGGAGTACTGAGATGTTGGAGTGATGGTGATTCGTGCTCGAGCGCTTGTAAAGTTGAGGCTGAGGCTGTTCCACCGTCCTTGACCCTTACACCAGAAACTTCTATGGGGACATCCAGGCAGCTGCGTTTGGGTTTTACTTTTTTTCCAGGTTTCATAACTTTTTATTTGCATTATTAAAAAATTGTGCATTCCAATAATTAAAATCATTCAAACAAAAAAAAATGGCACTCTGATTAAACTGCATTTTACAGCCTGCAAGAAGCCCTGGGCCAGCTTAGATGTAACTCTAGATTTCACTGTCGTCCCACCCCGATTCTTTCTTCACCAACTTGCCAGTTCTTTTCCTTCCCTGCCAGCCAGACAGGCAGATGGGAGAGGCAGGCGTGGCCTTCGTTGTCAGGAGTTCTGGATACTTTGATGTGAAAGGGGCAGCACAGTCATTTAAACTTGATCCAACCTCTTTGCATCTTACAAAGTTAAACAGCTAACAGAAGTAAAATAAGAAGGCGATGCTTGTGGAATGTACGGTGCATATTGGCGGCGCTCGCCTTACTACGCCTCGCCTGCTTGCTTCTCCTGTTGGATCATTTCTTTGGAAGGCAGTGGATTTTTCTCTTGTGTTTCCATCTTCTTCAATTTCGACTCATCACATTTCTCGATCTCAGCCATATCGGGTTTATCAGACATGGTCTCGGAGAGAGCGGAGCGAGTTGTCAGAGCTAAAAGAATCCGATCTGTGCGGTGGCGACCGCTGAATTGCATTTGGGTTTTAAATGCCTCTGTGCTATTCTTTGCAGTAGCAATGAAGGGACAGTGGGTACTGTAGAAACTATCAAACTCCACCCTCGACCTTGAGGGTGGAAAGCCACAGGGCATTGAGGAGGTGCTACAGAGGGCCGGCAGGCCAGCTGACCTTCTGTCTCTGTGGCCTGCAGAGGGGCAAAAAAGGGAAGCCTGTCCACGTGGCTTACTGTCCTAAATGCCTTTGTGGTTTCCACAGAGAGCAGTGGCCATCCTGGGCCATTCGCCCCCAGCGAAGGCATCGATTGTCAATGTGTGCATGACAAATTCAAAGAAGTGGAGGAGACTTGGCTTTAGTTTGATTTTAAAGGGTGAGAAGGATCTGACTAGGCCAGTGGCTCTCAACCTTCCTAATGCGGCAAACTTTTAATACAGTCCAAAGGGGTTGCGACCCACAGGTTGAGAACCTCTGGAGTAGGCAAAGAGGAGAAATAATGGAATGACAAATACTCAGAATCCATTCTGAGTATTTCCCATGTGCCAGACCTGTGCTGTTTTGCACATAGTAGTTCATGTAATCCCTGCAAAGCTTATTTATCAACTATGCGAATGGAGATCCAGAGAGATGAAGTCCATTTTCTGATGGGCGATGGGGCTGTGTTTCATCTCTAAGAGCCTCTGATGCCCAGAAATGTTTTTAGTTACACACCCTGTGGTTTCCGTAGGCCAGACTTTGTGGTTTCTTTTTTCTTTTTTTTTTTTTTTTTT